TAAACTAAAGCAAAAAATTACGCCACACCACGTGACGGTCACGTTACTGCAAAAGTGTCTAGACCCCTGGAGGGGCCTTGAGTACAGTGATCGATTTTAAAAAAATTGATTGGATGATTTTATCAATTATCGTCATTATACTATTATATTATAAAGATATATATATACGTATTTTATTCTGTATGCGAAAAAAAACAACTAAAATTTGAACTATACATAAATCAGTTTTTCATAAAAATGGAAAAGTTTCAATGTGTTATAATTTTTTTTTAAAAAAATCCGATTATTTAAGACTCTTAACCATAAATTTATTTATTTATTCATTTATTTGATTTATCGTTATCTATGATTTACTTATTGATTTATTTTTAGAATGCTATGAAAACTAATTACAGAATAAAAAAAAAAACAAAAATATTAATAATGCTTTATAAAACCATATATATGTATGTACTGTACGTACGTATGTATAACGATAAAAAAAAATAAAAAAATTCCCACTTCGATAGCCTGATAGAGTTGTACAATGACATAAAATATTGTCCGACAAAAATGGACATTATTAACAGATTTTTAGAATAAACAAGTAAAATTAAAAATTGTATAATTCACATAACAGATAATCTTTTTAAATTTGCCATACACGTCTTTAAAAAATCTTGCTAAATAAAGATATGATTAAACATTTATCAAATGAAAAAAAAAAGGAAATTACCAATGAAAATAAACATATGCGATCACTAAATAATAAATTCTACGTAAAAATGGAATCTGATTGATTAATTATAATTTGATGTCCCAATTGATCCATTCATTGAAAGTGCCATCATCCTGTTCACATAATCCAAAAGACATAAGGTTAGACATGTCTTGGATTCCCAAACCAGAAACAAAACCATTATTCCCATTTGATGAGTCATTAAATAGATTAAAATTAGGTGTTGATGCTAGCGTAGGTGCAGTAGTAGTTATTAACGTAGGATCAATGATTTGCAAAGTATTATTAAAGATGGAGGGTTGTCCTATTGCATTTGAATTTGAAATGCATTGTTGTTGGTGTTGTAGCTGTCGTTGTTGTAGCTGTCGCTGCTGTAGTTGTCGTTGCTGTAACTGTCGTTGATGTGACAGATTATTAGTGAATAATTGTGGTTGAGATTGAAATTGAGATCTCAAGTGATGTAATTGATAATTATTATTAATTGGGATGTGAACTGGTGACGGCCTTTGTGCACATCGTGCGTAGGATATATTAGGAACATGGTGAGTTAATGAAGGAATGGATGAATGATTATTAAAGTTGTTACGTATGGCATTTGTAGTTTGAAATTGTTGGTTCGGTAATTGATGATGTATCTGCGTTGGAATATGTTGATTATGTTGATTATGTTGATTATGTTGATTATGTAGGTTATGTTGATTATGTTGATTATGTAGGTTATGTTGTTCGATAGAACGATTGTTATATCCAATAATCGAAGGTAAATTTGATTCTTTAAGATTCGACAATCTAGACGAAGATTTATTCGGTGATGAAGGCGTTGAAGAAGCCAAAGATGAAGTTGATGATTGTGATGGAGAAAGTTGTGGTAAACGCATCGAATTTACATTTACGATAGATGATGATGATGTTGTTGATGATGTTGATGGATGTAAAACATTAATATCTTGAGAATATTGAACAGAAATAAGCGAATTATTATTTATCTGATGTTGTCGTTGATCATCTTCCTTCTTATCTTGTAAACTTTTTCTTGGTCTGTAAACGTAGCCAGGATGCATTTCCAGATGTAAAACTTTGGCAATTTCTTGCAATCTTGTATATTGACTCTTTGTTTTCTCTGTGGCATTATCCCACAATTTTCCAGCAGCCATTGAAACTTGAGGTACTTTTAAGTTATGAGTTGATAAATGAATATGAAGTGCGTTACGAAAAAGAAAGAATGCATTTGGAGGTCTTGGAGGATCATTCTTCTTTGATTTAGCTCTGCGTGAATTTTCCAAAACTCTCTTGATGAAATGGGTATCAGGTAAAGGAATATGTTCAGCAGTAAGACCTGCCAAGATTTCAGCAGTTGTTTTGTCATCAGGTGAAGGTCGAAATGAAGGACTACTTGTACAAATTGATTGACGACGTTTAACACGAGTAGAATTGTTACTATTGACTTTTGGCATTTTATTTACTTTTGTGCAAAGGTTTATGTAAATCTGTTTGTATCTGCCTGTGTTAGTGTATGTAAATATAATTTTGAGAAAAAAGAATCGTTTCGTCTAACGGAACAGAAAGCGTTGCGTTTATAAATTAATGATCCAAACAAATATAATCAAAAAAGAAAGGAAAAAAAAAAAAAAAAAAAAAAAGAAAAAATCAATATATATATTTTTATATTTTGTAAAGAAATGACTTTGTTCAAATAGAGAAAAGAATAGGAAATATCATATATTTATGCAAGTCATAAGGTGATGAAATGAACTTGAGTATTATGAAAAATTGTGATGCTGGTCAATAATCGATAAAAGTACATAAATATAATAATAATAATAATAGGTCCATATAAAAAAAACCGTGAGACTGCTAGGACATGTGATTAAATTTGGCGCTAAGCCTTCCTGGGATGAAAACAAAAGGAATATTCGTCAAATTCAGAATGGCGTTCCTTTCTTTCGAGTTGTTCTAATTACGTATAAATATAAATATAAATGTGTATATGTGTATATATAAAGTATATATCAGATATATTCACAGATATCGTGTATACCCCGATCTTCTTATTTATGTACTTGCATTACAAGTATAAATTACAGGGTGTTTGTGTTATATATTAAGTACAATTTCTAAAATTTCCAGAACGATACTGTAGAATCGAAATGATATCGGCGATAATATTTTTTGTTCTCAGCACCTCCCGTCCAAAAAACACTTTCACCTAACTGGATATTTCTAAAAATATACACTTATTTTTTCACGTATTTTAATCTAAAGATTTATTATAAAAGATTTATAAAAAATTTATAAAAGATTTATAGAAAAAAAAAAAAAAATTATAGAAAATTATGCAAAAGAAATATGTTTATTATAAATAAATTACTATTAAAATTATTATTAAAAAATTATTAAATTATTTGATTTTTATGTTGTATTACAAAAATAACTTATGCGGATCTTTAAAACTATTTTATTTCGTGTTCTTTTTTTAAGTATATGTTAAATGTACATTAATAACTGATATATTGAAACGACTTCAAAACTCCACGTTTGTTCTAGATTAAAAAAAGATTTATTTAAAAATTTTAAAATTTTTTAATGCAAAACGTATATGTTGTGAAAGTTGTAAAATGAAATGTTCTTGGTACTTTACACTTTAGATACGTACGTACGTACGTACGTGCGTACGTATCTGGTATCAGGTATATACTGTATGTATGTAAAAGATCATGTGCAACATTTATATCATCGCTAATGCTACGCCACTAACTTACTTGTTCGCACGTATGTACTGTACGTACGTACGTATCTATTTTTCTATCAACTATCAGCTATCAGCTATCAATTAGCCATTTGACTACGATCGTTAAACGTCAAAATTTCATTATGATCCTAATTTAGATTAGTTAAATTGAATGAAACAAAAGCAAATGTCCAACTCAATAATTACGATTATATAAAAAGTACATGACAATTATGAGTCCTATGAAGGTAAGTATTCATATTATTGTGTATAATTTAAAAAAGAAAGCTTTGCCAATTTCAAATTTTCACCATTAAAAATAATAATATCTAATTTTCTTCTATTGTCGGAATTGTCCAGAATTCTTATTCTAGTTCGAAGGATTACATCAGTTCATGTTGATGATCATTTGGTTTTTCTATTTTTATTCATTGATCTTTGATTATTATACTAAAAGATTAGTATTACGTAAAAAAGATTAGTAAATTTTAAAAAAGATCTTAAGAAATGTAAACAAAGCTAAAGGAAAAAAAAAACTAGTTATTTTTTTGTGAGTGAAATATTTCAAACTATTACTATCAGTTATCGCTATAGAAAAATCAATCAATATCACTTTTAAATAAAAAATCACGTGAAAACTGCGTATGAAATTAAATGAAAATGAAACTCTGCGAGAAAAAAAGAACACTATTTTATTAATACTAATTTAATCCTACGTATCATATATGTAAGTACGTACGTACGTGCGTGCGTACTTTGACTTTTACATCAATTCATAATAAATTCATTTTATTTCAGGAGGTTTTTTTTTTAATAAAATAAAAATTATTAGGTATAATGTTGATACTAAGAATGTGGTCGACATGTAAACAGAATTTACTTCCAAGTATTACGATCACGAAAAATTAAATTTTTTTTTTTAATATACATACAAGAAGTATTCTTCACTTTAATTTGTGCATATATTAATAGGAGGTGATAGAAATATTCCCGTTTCTTAACGTAAAGTTTTTTTTAAAATGCTTAAAAATGTTTATCTTAAAATCGGTGATTTTTTTTTTAAATATGGTACCTCATTCGTTAACTGTTACCGGATAGGCCCTTGATTTATCCGGTTTCTAGCCAGTTATGTCATATTTTTCGGATTTTTTATCGGATAATCTGTCGATTTGCTTAAATTTATTGTTTTATCGGTGCAGCGATGACCTTATGACCTCGAATAAAAAGAAGAAAAAAAAAAAAAAGGATGCGATATATATATATGTGTACGCGAGTGTCAATTTCTCCTCATCGAATTAAGATTAATCGAAATATTATCGAAATATTATCGAAATATTATATAAAGTGAATGTGGTTATCTTTCGATATATCCGAAAGAAAAGTTGGTCGTTAACGGGTACGTAAATTCGTAGGTGTGTGACCATTTCGTATCTTTCAACCTTAATCTTTTATTCATTTCTAAACCTAATCAAAAAAAATTTTTTTTGGTTTGTTTTTTACTTTTATTTATTTTACTAATGTTTACTTTTGAATTTCTGTATTTTTTTATTTCTTAATTTTTTTTTTTTTTTTGCACATTAAAAAACTAATTAATCATTTTTTGAATTATTTGTATACGCACCGGAAAATTTATTCAAAGAAATGATATAAACATGACTGAATCCCGATGAGAAGTGAATTCGTTCGATCGTGATAAAAAAAGAACCTCTCAAATTCACTTCACCTCGCTCATATTTTCTGGACCAGAAATTTCACATTATTCAAATTAAATAAATGATCAATTTTAGTATGAAAAAAGAAATGGCCGAAAAATTTACGGTTGAAATGGCCACAATCTTTTCTTTTTTTTACTTGAATAAGATGGCTTTATATAGTTTCAAAAAAATTGATTCAACTAGATACCTTTTGTGGTTGGTAACTTTTACATTAGCGCTAATTCTGCGTAAAGGATTGGTGCCTAAACTGTCATTTGTCATCACGAGAATCCATCATATTTTCTTATCAAATCGATATTCTTTGAAGTGATCTACATCTAAAATTATTTATAAAAGATGTTCAGATAACGTCGTCATACGTAAATCAATAATGGGGCGTCCTATAATTCTATATATGCTAAAGATTCGATATTTCCTTTCAGGACTATTTTGGAATTTTTTTAAATTATGACCCGGGTAACGGTTATATCTCACAAAATAGTCAACGATGACTTAATAGTTTCGGAAAATTTGACTAATAAGTAAAACAAATATTTGTTAGCATGGTTCCCTATACTAAGTATTAACAATCTTTATTAAAGAAATAAAAAAAAAAGACTTTCTAAAAAGATAACATTTGTTATTTCTCCACTCCACTAATATTAATTTCGTTTAAAAAAATGTCCGTGCACTTTAAAAAAAAATTTTTTTTTCTTTTCAAAACTTTATAGGGGTTAGTAGAATTTTAGCGCATCTACTGAATGCGTCATGTTTTCCCCCTGATTATGAATATACTAGTTAGTTCAGTAGTATTAAGGATCTGTTGTATTACAAAATCTTCTGGGAAATTTATGGAGAAAAAGTTCCATTCATAAAAAACACATCACTCTATAATTATAACGCACTAATCTTAATTTATCATAGTTTTCAAAACCTTAATTCACTTTTAAATTCACCTTTAAATTATATACATATATATTTGTGTTGTTACGTATGAAAATTCATAGTTCGCTCCTTTTTATTGAGAACAAATTCATAGAACGTTTCACTAGTTATGTAGTTATGTAAAGAATCAATTTTATCTATTATCAATCTCGCTTGATATCTTGCTTAGATAAAAGCCTTGTATGATATTTCGGGTTTGTTAAACGATTCTTCGTAAACCACTTAAAATAAAGATTACCTAATTTATTATATTACGTATGTATTATATAATGAAAAAAAATTTACACAAAATATCTTTCAACAAAGAAACTTCTTAAACCATTTATCATTGTCTAAGAATAATAGTATATAATAGTATTGGAGATATAGTATTAAAAGCCGTTGAGATCGCTCACAATGATCTCAATGATCGTAAATTTAATATATATAAATATATTTCTGAAATTACGTTCATCATCGGCTTGGCCGAATAATATACCAACAAGAATTCGGTATCCATATAGGTATTTCTCAATGCATATTTTATTGAGATATACAGTATCGGTATCGGTATCAAACATGCCTAAATTATTAATATTGGTTAGTCTATTATCAAGCTATCCTTGTTTAAATTTAGTGCCTAACTAAAAATTGACTCTAACCTGACTAGACCCCAATAGATAACGATAAATTATAATTAATCTTCATTATAGTGTTTTCATATTTACCCATTCAAAGAACCTTTTCCGTTAATCTGTTTATCCATCTGTGACTAATTCCGATAGATAATCGGGCAAAAGATAAAATTTAATATTTTGTCCGAATAATTGATAAAAAATCTGATTTTCTGGTCACTCCGATCAACTGATTTCATCTCTACATAGCGATTCTCGCAATAGTGGTGCAATATAGATTACCATATTATATCGAGTTAAGCTGATCTTTTATATAATACGTAAAAGTGATCTGTATTTCCTTAATATATTAGGAATAATAATAATAATTTATTTTACATTTTCATCTATTAATTTCTCATCGTCTTTTTTATTATTATTAGTCACCCAAAAAAATTATTAATTTTGTTATGATCACGTGATGATTTACAAAG